ATCGATAGAGAGTATAAGAGACACGGACATTCTGCGCCCGCGAGCGTGCGAGAGAGAGAGCGAGAGAGCGCGCGCGATATTAAAGAGAGGCGCCACTGTTTGTTTGCGAGCGAGAGAGAGAGAGAGTTCTCTCTCTTTCTCGCTCTCTCTGTTTGTGTGGGGAGAGAGAGAGAGAGAGAGAGAGAGAGAGAGTGTGTGTTTGTATATATATATATATTTGGAGAGAGAGAGAGAGAGAAACTGAGAGTCTCTATGTAAGGAATATATTTGATTTAAATATTTAAAAATATATATGTATATATAAATATCTTTATGTGTTTATATATATATATAGAGATATATATATATATATATACACATATAGAGATATATATATATATATATAGATATAGAGATAGATATAGAGATATATATATATATATATATATATATATATATATATATATATATATATATATATATATATAGATATATATATATATATATATATATATATATATATATATATATATATATATATATATATATATATATATATATATATATATATATATATATATATATATATATATATATATATATATATATATATATATATATATATATATATAAAAGTTTTTGTATATTTCATACAGTATATTCAAAATAAATTTTACAATAAACTATTAATTTGCAATTGATCATTGAATCTTGTGAATAATTACGGTTACGGAAATAACAAAAGTATTTAAAAATTTGTTATTCAAACATGTTTTTTATGTTTTTAGAAATTGTAAAATAGCCAATAAGGTGTCCGACATGTGTCATTCGAGTGTTGGACACGAAAAGTGTCCAACACGCGAAAACGTTAAAAAGTTGAAGTTCACGCTACGTAGCTTATAACATCTATATTGTTATTTATTTTACTTATAGGTGAAAAAAAAAACTTGCGGATTTTAGAGTTTTTATTCTAATTTCAGAAATTCAACTTTGGTTTTTCTTTTTTCATTTTTTATTGAAATTAGAATTAGTATTTTTATTTTCAAAAAATAAAAGATAAAAAAATGATGGTGCAAAAAAACTGAACTTCAAATACCTTTTATATTATTTTGAAATATGTCGCTTTAATTAATTTATTTTATATTAATCTCATTTTAAAGTTTTAATGATGCATTAAATATATTTTTCTTTCAATTTTATTCTTAATAAATCAACTTTATCAAGCAATAATTCTTTCTTACCCCTTTTTTAAATAGCAAAGGTTATATAAAGAGGAGAATATTTTGGCCTACAAAAGTAAATACAGCTTTAGGAGTTGTCTCAAGCTTAATGATTGGGATTAGGGCAGGTAATTAGTTGTTGATCTTGGATTAAAAGAGGAAAATAAAAATAAAGAAAGTCTAATAAAAGTATAAAACCAATTAAAAATTAGAAAATAAATAAATTGGATTTAAAGAAAGAACAAATGAAAAAAAATGAGATTTCAATTTCAGAAGTTAGTTAGTGAAGAGAAAAAGGTGACACAACTAAGACAATTTAGTATATCCAGGTCAGATTAGCTATCTCCAGTCAAATACAGTGATTAAATGTTTATTAAAATTTAAAACCAAATAGGACCATAGCTATTATTAGCTGTACTGATTTGAGAGTTGATCTAATTTGACCCTAAATCGACGGATCATGTTTAGTCACACTTCAATTTTAATTGCTATTTCCAGGCACATTTTCCTCGTACCAGAAACCTAAGTACAAGTATCCAATTTAAATATAGTACACAAAACACACCTTCTCTATAAATCCTCTGATAATGACTTTTTAACAGTGAAAATGTAATATATCGATAAATCAATGAAGAATAAAGTTATAGTTCAATACTATTATTCATGGAATTAGAAATTTATAGTAACTCAAATTTATTAAATTGAATATTTATATTATTATTATTATATAAAAGTAATAAAGGTTGAGACAATCAAAGAAATCCTAACATCTTTTTACTTATTATTTTTAATTTTTTTATGTGAATCCTTTCGGCCTCAATCTTCTATTTTTTAGTTTTTTTTTCTTTAATTATTCAACAAAATCTTTGGCTCTATATTTTCATAGCAAATCGGATAGCAGATGATTATGAAATCATAATCTACTACCAAAAAATGATTTTTTTCCCTTCTTCTAATTGTACTTTCTTATTAATAGCATTAAACCAACGTAAAATCCTTAATCAATGATCAGAAAGACAAATTAAGGTATTCTACATCGATACATTTTTTTCCTAAAATTCGAGAAATTTAATGTTTGAATTTTTTATTTTATTGTCGATATTTATATATGTAAGACGGTAATAATAATAAATAAATAAAACCCACGAGCTTCCTCTTGAACTATTACAAAGTGAACACAATTTTGTCTATTACAATTGCTATTGTCGTGTGTGTAAATATTTTGTTTTTCAATTTTGAAATGTTATTACGTACATCGCACGGGAAGAAATAATAGTTCAATTAATTTGGATTAGAGAAAAGCAAAATTGACCTAATAAAAAAGGAGTAAAAAGAAGGGGAAAAGAAAAAACAGAATCATCTCTTTAGATAAAAAGGTTAAAAACCAAAAAAATTGGCATATGGAATCTAATTCTTGGGCATCGAATGAAGAATAATATCATAAATAAAAGATGCTCAAACGCATTTATTTTTTTACTTTCAATCTTCTAAATAGGTTGGGTGGGGATAACACGAATTTATTTCATAAATAGTTTTTTTGTCCTTTTTTACTATTGATTCAGAATTATTAATTGCGGTGATACAGTTTATATATTATTAGATGATTTATTTAATTGTTTCTTTTGAAAATTACTAGTCGATACTTGGAGCTAAAATTCAGTTTAGAAAAGCTCTAATATATCGCTAAACCTTTATAAATTTACAACTAACACTACTAAAATGCTCATTGTGGATGTTTGTAAAATATGTTGGAGCTCGTTCGAGTTGAAGCTAAGTATGAGCCCGAAATGATCAACTGGATGGAGCATACAGTTAAGATCGCATGCACAATACGTGGAGATGTTGAGGTGGCATAAGTTGGTTGTCTAACGACTTGGAGAATCCAACTCATGAAGATTCTTCTGACGTGGGAACACTTAGTAAAGAGTGTATATATATATGAAAAAAAGTTGCGTATCTTTAAAGAGTTAGGTTTAATGTTGAGTAGATAATTGAGAGCAATATGAAAATTGATAAAATATAATAAATTTGAAGATGATAGTTCAACTGTAGAGCATTGTTTTTAAAGTGAAACTCTTAAAGCGACAATGATGTTAGATAATTTTCATTGACCTGTTTCAAAGCTATACTCCATGTCAAAAGAATTCAAGGATGAGATTCAAGGTGACATCAACTCAGTGAGAAAGAAAAGGCGATAAAATCATATTTTTATTGAGAACTCATAGATTAATAAGTGTATTTTTAATTAAATTGTCGAGGTTCTACTATATATGTATTTAGGATACCAAATATAAATTTAATTACATATTTATGGGGAAAAAAAAAAAAAAAAAAACACTAATGGATCGGACCAAAGTTTCAAATGTAATCGATCTAGGAGCGAATTGGTAAGGAGAAAAGCATAAGCCCAAACCGGGTGGGCCAACTCTCTACGTGGACACTTTATACTTCAAGCCCAATACTTTCAATTATTTTTTTTTTATTTTTTTTATAATAAAAGTTTGGCTTTGTAGATTGACCTTCAACCGAACTCAAGTGAAATGCTTTTTGGGTTATAACTTTGCTATTTGCAGTTCCTATCCCATAAGCACTTCTCTCATTACAAACCCTCTCTCCTCAACTCCCCTCTCAAAACCGAAACATTTATAAATAAAGAATTCAAAAAATTCGAATTCAAGCAAAAATAAGTTAAATTCATCGAAATTTTAAGGTATCTTCAACTCCTAAAAGTTTTTGTTACATTGGGTAGGAAATTTCATGTTAAACAGCCCTACAAATCGATTTGTAGGGCTGTTTATTTCCAAAATTGCTTTCGGTGAATGCCCAAACCGGGCGTTCACTAGCATTTTTCACGTCCGGTTTGGGCGTGAAAAATACTGGTGAACTCCCGGTTTGGGCGCCCGATCTGCGCGTTCAGATACAAGTAGCATTAGGTTTGAACTACAAATAGCAATTTTTCAACCGTAAAGAGTATGTCCCCAAACTCAAACGGAATAAAACTATTTGACCTAACACTAATCTCTTCACTCTGATACTACTCGAGCAATGCCCTTACATCTTGCAATATAATTGTCAATAGGTTATACATTTAGCGTTAAAGAGAAGAGAAATCCCTCGAAGGAAAAATTACGGACAATCTATCGAAACAAAGAAAGATAGGGGCGAAGGGTATCGGAGCAGGTGGAAAAGCATGCATACATATTCCATCGCTCTACGACTACACCTAAAGATATGAAGACTAAAACAAAGTTCACAGTAGTGCAACTAAAAAAAGTTTACATTACGCTATTCGACTGTCTCTTCTAACTTCACATCAATATTTATGTAGTTTCAAACAACAATATAAAAAAAAGAATTATGGGAATGAATAAATTTAATTATTTCCCGTTCAAACCATTTTTACTAA